TACTAGCTATCGCTTTTGCTTTGCATCTTTCCTCTAGATTTCACGGTGTTCCTATTTTTCTTATGATTGTTGTGGCGATACTAATATTTACTAATATTGTCTCCCTTTGCTTTGCATCTTTCTTCTGGATTTCATGGTGTTGCTATTTATCCTATGAGTGTTGCTGTGATACTAATATTGTCTCCCTTTTGTCCTTTTGTCTTTGGTATTTTTTTTTATTTTTTATTTTTTTGAGCCGAGGGTCTTTTGGAAACAGCCTCTCTACTCCTTCGGGGTAGGGGTAAGGTCTGCGTACACACTACCCTCCCCAGACCCCATTAATGGGATTCTACTGGGTTGTTGTTGTTGTTGTTGTTCTAAAGGACTTGGCGACGTATATTCTTCGCAAATTCTATAATTAACTTTTGAAATTCCAATACATGTATCATGTATTCTAGAGGAACCTTTCAATTAGTTGTCATGTATTTAACTTTTTTCTTCTTATTTTTTCACGCTTGGCTTTCCAAATTTACACGTACATTTATAAGTTTATAATTTTTGGCATGCAGAGGAAAGCTGCAGATTATCAGGTGTTCATTTTACTTATTATTTCTTATGAGTATTCATGAAATTGCATACTCTTGTTTATGCAAATTCTCTTTACTGTTATTAATTATTTCGTCGGGCAATAAATTATAGAAATATCAACTTTATTATAATCAAGCATATTGACTAGCTTGTGGGTAACAATATATTCTTCCAAACCAACACTGTCAAGTCCCATAACAATATATTCTTCCGACTGGTTGCTAACATCTTGCACTGCCAGAAGCTATATGGCATGTACTCTGTAGTCCTCGAGCGTTCTTGAGATCATTTATGTTTGAAGCAAGAAGGCAGCATCGCCAAGTTCCTGAATCTCCTGTCTTATCACATGCAGCCTCATCTACTTTTCTTGGCTTCTTCTCCTCTCTTGAGGAATTGGTTCCCAAAAATCATCTTCTCATTCTCCTCAACTCAATCATTAACTCAAAAGAAACATTCTTTGTCAATATAATGTTTCTTATATACACCTCCATAATAGAAAATGGTACTCCTAACAGTTAAGATTCATTAATTAAAAAAATCAAGACTACTCAATTTGAAGAAGACAAAATCCCTTTCCCCCCTCAAGTACTAATTAGCGTCTAACTAGATAGGGGACCATTCAAATTAAGAACAAAAGCTCGTCGTCTCCTTTGCCATATACCAGATGATGCATGAGTCTCACACTTGTAGATAAAATTCCAAAACTTTCCAAAAAGATTTAATGATTAAAAAACAAAACTGGAAGGCTAATTTAAACTATTGTAAAAATAAAAATAAAAAAGATGGAACCCACTGTTGTCAAGAGTTTGATCGGGCTCAAAGCTCCCCAATCCACGTTTGACCTCCATTAAGATCAGGGACAAATACGAGACAACTAGCTCCAAAATATAACACAATGTAAAATTAAGGTAGTTCGTATAATCAAGAATATTTCTTATCCTTATCCCAGTATCATTCAACAATACAGTGTCTGTTTGTTACACCAACAATTAAGAAATGGGGAGCAAGATTCACAGTCATCGATGTTCACCAATAAAAACAAAGCAGACCTTACGAACACCTCTCTTGAGAGCATTTTCTTCATGCTTAAGATGTGGAGACGGGGGTATCTGGATGCGCTCCCCATTCTGTCCACGAACCATCATAGACTGGAACGTCAGTCTTCCCTAATCGGTGGAGGCCCTAAAGAGATGAACAAACATTGAGGTCACCCCTCTTTTGCGACAATGGAGTAGCTACATTGGGGGGGG